AAACTCATGCCCTACATCTGCAAAGAGAATTCCACAGGTAGGAGCCCCCCCTGTCCCTGCAGATCGATCTGAGGCCAACCTGAGACATGCTAGCATTTCACAATAAGACCCTTCAAGGGACGTTGGATTTGTGAACGTTTCAGAAGTGTGTGCATGGAGTGGGTCACTGATGAGTCTACGCATCATCATTAAAATTATGTTGCTTTCCCTTGTAAGAAGAGGGATAGAGTGATTCTGACCTGCTTTCTGTCATGCAGGGTCTTACCTGGGTATGACTCTGCCTATTGTGACTGAACTCCAGATGCTAGAGGATGGGAATGGATTTCTCAAGGAAGTTGTGACTGCTTACTACCTGCCAGCAGCATTACAGGACTACCCACCGGAACCTGCAGATCCTGACATTTATATAATCCACAGGGACACTCTGCGAGTTTTCACCAGGTGGGGCTGGAGGGACATTGATGCCTTTGGGCACTGTGATCCCTGACTGGACTGTCTGTGGCACTGTTCTGATTACAAGTGGGCCTTTATCAGACTACTAAAGATGTTTGGTAAAGAGAAGATGACTGACGTCTATAATAAGAAATGGGTCATGTTCCAAAGATGTCCATTGAAGCCAATTGAAATTACAGTGCATTGTAAAGGATCAAACAATATCCCCTTGTGAAAATAATCCTAGGTACTGAAATGGCAGCACTGCAAAATGGCATATCAGTGCCAAATGGTGAAATGTATCTGTATATTTCTGCCCTGGCAGGAGTTTCCGTGGTACAACTACAGAGGAAACTATCATGAATCAGGCGAACCAATTGTGGGAGCTGCTGGAAAACACAGAAGGTCTGCGGAGGGACGCCTACATGGTGGCCGTCTACGAGAACCCCGGGGTGTCCTGCCGCAGGAATGAGATCTGGTTAATTCGCCAGGAACAATAGACACCGACACCTACACCAGCTAAATCCCCCCACCCATCATGCACCAGAGCATTGCAAAACACACAGCTTTATGTCGAGCCAACAGAACACAAAAGAACACAACAAAATGCCTGAATTTCTTATATGTTTGTGTTTACTAGTGCTCAGATTGTCATTGTATTTCTTGTGTTCTATGTGTAAGATATAGGGCGAAAAGGACTGTTGACAAGGCAGTTCCTATTCATTAGCTTCTGACTTGTGTGTGAATTTAGCTAAGCAGTGGGGTTTCTTATAATAGTCATACTACCGTGTCACCTTGCTTATTGGGTAATGGGGTGAGCGTGGCACATGAGAGGGCTGGACGGAGGGACGTGACACATATTTATACTCTTCAAAGCCCAGGATTTACCGTATAATTTGGCAGCCTTAAGGGTGCTCCTCCTGGGGATTATGGGTAAAGTCATTTTATACAAACGGCCATGCAAAGACAGGAAGAGGAACAAATGAAATTCATCACTGTGAATCAGTTCCTGGGCTATACTGCTATATGTGTTCTACCTCAGCTCGACATTTTTATTTGTAGAGAAAATGCCCCTTGTCTGGAATTCAAACATTTTACAAATCACATTAATATTTAGTGGCCTTGCCCAATGTAGGAATTGGTCTATAAAAAGCAATGTTCGCATAGAAGCTTAATGGTCAGGCATGGATGTCATGTGCTGTACATCAACATTATTGTTTCATAGTATGTTCCTGTTTAACTAATCAACTTCAGTTCTATGAGGAAGCTATAAGATCTCAAAATGGCATACGATGTGATCTACTTAGATTTCCACAAGGCCTTTGATGTTGTCCCCCACAAACGGCTCCTGCTTAAGCTCAAAGCAGCAGGGATTTTAGGAACTGTAGCAGCTTGGGTTACCGCAGGGTTCAATTTTAGGACCACTATTGTTCCTAATTTACATTAATG